TGTCATGTTTATAGAAAGTATGTGGGCAAACCTTCCCTGCATTATTTTTAAAATGTAATAAATGGTACCCTGAGGCAAGACCTAATCACTGAGTCTCTTTATCAAAACCTGTTCTTGAATTATGGTTGATATTCAGAACTGGGATGAAAAGACAACAAAGGAAAATCCATAATCATAAACCCAAAAGAGAGGCTGGGATTATAACAAGAGGTGACTAGATCTACATGGAGTACTGAGAAGCTAGAGGAAAAACAAGAAGAAAAAGGAGAAGCTATAGTCAGAACAATCAGAAACAAGAGCAAACAGGGGTATAAATACACAGACTAATAGGACTAGTGATGACAAACAGGTACAAACCCTGATCAGGGAGTAAGTGCTCAGAGCAGAGCTGGGCTGTCACTCAGTGTCAAAGATGAAGTTCGTATCCATTACATGACATAAGTCTGTCCCACAACATGTCACACAGCATAAATTATAAAGTGGTACTATAAATAGAAACCTGATAAGATAAAATATCATCACATTGTAGATAATAGATAACAGCAGAAAAACTTCAGCTCTAATCTATCTCAGTTTTGTGTTACTGAGCATTGTGGAGAAGCCAGGACTGTCCTACCCAAGCTGTCTCCTTCACACTAAAAACATGTAAAGTGTAGAAGTGCAGGAAACAAGAAGTAGAAAACTGAATGCATGAACCAGGACGTAACACAGGAAGTAAACAGGATTTCTCTGTCTATGGTCCATTCTTATGCAGTTTTCTGAAAGCTATGCTGTCCTTATTGAATAAGAACCTTCCTCTGTAGGGGTCAAAGGTAACAGCTATTCAGAATGTACTATGATTTCAATATTTAAAGACAAATCCTGTGTACTAAACAAACCCAAGTAGCACAAATTCATAAACAAGACTAATTTAGCAGTGAAAACTTCTCTACATTGTCACCAGCTTTGTTTACCATTTACAGTTCACTTAGTCTATTTTAGCAAACAATACAAAAGCTACAGTTACATGATGTACAGTAGCAATGGAAACACGGAACTCATACTAGAAAACTTTTATTCCTTTTATGTACAATTTAGTATGACTAAGTGTAATGTTAATATGTTTTGTACATGAATTTGGCTTCATTTATAAGGGAACTCACTGGTTGCTGCTGACATTTTGTTTTTAAATTCAGCCTAATAATAGAACAAAGAATCTCAGAAGCAAGTTGTCCATGAGTTGATCCCTTTATTAATGAATAACTGTTTTTTAAATAATTGTTTTTCAACACTTACTTTTGAAATGACCCTAGAGAATGGGTGATGTGGGCGTACTCCCATCGAAGTCCTCTTCACAGGCTTGATTACTTCTGATTGAGTTACACCATCTGTGAAATAAAATTCTTAAAAGCATGTAATTCTCTTTTTTTTTCAATATTTCACTCATACACACAGAAACATGCAAAATTACATTCTCAGTAATCTTTGGTAATCTTCACTGTGAATGATAAACCAAGCTCCCAGATGTCAGAAGAACACTAAGTACAGAGGTTGTCTGTTTACCCACAAATCAAAGTACTAATTCTGTATATAAGTTTTTATTTCATGTATATACTCTATATTTACTGTGTATAAACACTGCATGGCCAAAAGCATGTGGACACCTGACCAACACACCCATATGTGGTTCTTCCCCAAACTGTTGCCACAAATTTTGGAAGCACACAATTGTATAAATGTCCTTGTATGCTGTAGCATTACAATTTCCCTTCAGTGGAACTAAGAGGCCCAAATCTAGCATGACAATGCCCCTGTGTACAAAGTGGGGTCCATGAAGACATGGTTTGCCAAGGTTGGTGTGGAGTGACCTGCACAAAGCCCCAAAGTCAATGCCACTAAACACCTTTGAGATGAACTGGAATGCCAACTGTGCACCAGACCTTTTCATTCGATATAAGTGGATGACTTCACTAATGCCCTTGTGGCAGAATGGACAAATCCCCCCAGCCACACTCCTAGTGGAACCTAGTGGAAAGCCTTCCCAGAAGAATGGAGCACAGCAAAGGGGGACTATATATATTTGAGGCTTACACACACACACACACACACACTATATACATCAGCTCGAACCAGTCTGGCTGTTCTAAGCTGATCTCTCTCATCAAGACATTACTGTATTCCACTGCTGTTTTTTGTTTCATATATATTCATTAAAAGAAGTTAGTGTACAAACACTCCACAGTATATATCCAGGGTGTATCTTCTGCACCTTTATTATGTATTCTTCACCTGGTAAAGTGAATATAATGCACATTTAACTCAATTACAGTTCTAAATTGGATGACACTTGCACCTTTGAAGGTACCTGTTTATAACTTGGATAGAAAGAAAAACTGTACAGTACCTTTTTATCAACAGTGTTTTCTCAGATTTTCTTTTATACAGTATATTCATATATTAATCCATATTCTCAGGTGTTTGTTTTATATATCCATGTTTAATGCAGAAGAGAATGAACAAAATGAACAAAACACTAAACTTGCTTTGTGCTGCAGGTTATATTAGGAAAGCACCTGTATTTGCCAGCACAGTTTGCTGAAGGTTCTGCTTTAACACATTTACTAAACCCTGTCATTAACAGCTGAGCTGAATCAGGTGTGTTAAAGCAGAGAAATCATCCAGCTGTGAAGGGCTCTAGAAATGCAGGACCAAAACTACACACTCCTGGGTTAAAAGCTAAGCGCCACAGTATAAGTGCTGTGAACTACTAGTTGAGCGTGAAATGAAGTTTGCAGACAAAGATACGAGCAAGAAAACCTGATCCCATGACAAATTCCTAAATTTCAAACAAGTAGGGGTGATTCTGTAAGATTTTACAGTGGATATAAAAAGTCTACACACCCTTGTTAAAATGGCAGGTTTCTGTGATGCAAAAAAAAAAACCAATGAAACCAAGATAAATCATGTCAGAACTTTTTCCACCCTCAATGTGAAATTACAATGTATAAAAATGAAGTGAAAAAGAATCAGAAACATTTTAGGGAAAAATAGGAAACAAAAAATTTGCAATAACCTTGTTGCATAAGTGTACACACCCCTAAACTAATACACTGTTGAAGCACCTTTTGGTCTTATTACACCACTCAGTCTTTTTGGCTAAGAGTCTATCAGCGTGGCACATCTTGACTTTCTGGGCTGTGCACAGGAGATGCCCTTAGGATTTGATGGATCTAGAATTTTTTTGCAAGAAAGAGTGAGAAAATATTGCCAAGTGAAGATGTGCCATGCTGATAGACTCTTAGCCGAAAAGACTGAGTGGCGTAATAAAACCAAAAGGTGCTTCAACAGTGTATTAGTTTAGGGGTGTGTACACTTATGCACTCATTATACATGAATGAAACTGAATCTTACTGAATTAGATTACTGAATCTATCTCTAACATTGACCTTATGCCTGTTTATCCAAGAACCAGGCTATAATCAAAATGTAGCACACACACAACACATTTATGGAGGAAAGGCAAAACAATTAAAAAAAACAGGTAATAGATGGTGGTAAAGAAGAGTGGAAATCATTTTCAAACATATTATTCTGCACTGATACTGGTAGCGATTTTTTTGTGTTGCTCAAATCTCTCTATGCTCATAGGTGGGCATTGTTATCTTTACTTTACTGCTGCTTGCCATAGTTTTACTGGCTAGTGCGATATCCACACAAATAATGATATGCCTACAAGGTAGCTACAGAATGTAAACAAAAACCACACAAATCAGATGTCTTCCCAGAATAAATAAAAATACTGGCCGGAAATGCTTGTGTATAAGATGCCTCCATGCAGTGCATCACAGCCTATAAGTATATACTACCACCTCTTACTTCCATTGGTTGTCACCAAGTCAATTCCCCTCTTATAGGCATAAATTGAATTTTGTTCAGCTTTGTCGTGTTGCTTAGCTATAACCAAAATTCATCAGTTCTCACTGAAAATAAGTGGCTTCTGGGCACTTTGTCATGGCACGTTGCTGCTGGTGTGAACACATGGTTAGTTTGTTTACTGAGTCTGAATCACGGTCAAAGTAATAACCTTTACTCCTTACTCATGAAAAAAATTAAACAAAACTTTTGCAAGTGCATGGAAAAATTATGGAAGGCAACTGAGCATGGAGAACACAGCGCCAGTGCTATAGGTCTGTTCTTTTCTGAATATGAAGCCATATCTGTGCAACTCCCACACATCAGTCTCTATGCTGATAAATGTTTCTATTTTATTTTTTTAAAAAGTGCATGCACTTTAACCTACTCTGTCCAGGTGATTCTCACTGACCCTGCTGGTTAGGAGGTATGTACGTAACTATGAATATCTGACAGGGTCCCTTGTCATTCAGAACCAGGTTCCAGTGGAAGAAGGCTGACAAGATACTTAAAATTACATTCACTACAGTATGTTTTGCATGCTTGTCCACCACAAGTCATAAAAAAATTACACCAGTGTGATTTTGATTCTCCCTTATAATGTCCACCATCGATAGATATTATTCAGGACATGATGTGTCCCATGAGTCATCCATGCTCAGATTTACAGTAGGTAGATAGGGAGGTTCTATTATTATTTAATGATACATATATTTCGGTGACGGTAATATATTTTAAAAGGCTTCAGTGGAAGAAGTGAATTATTGTCTGGCCTAAAATTATACTGTCTGGCCTACAGTGCAAAATCACCTTCCAGCTGATATATATTTTGTTACATTTATACGTAACAATTTATACTTATTCGTTTGGAATAAAGGTTTATCCAAAGCAGACACATGCAAACCAAACATGTAGCTGCTTGAGGAGGAGACAGAAATAGAAGAAAAAGTACCACCAATTGTTCAGAATCAATGTGCATAACAGTTGTGGGCTGAACAACAACTAAACACAAACTATAGTCACAAAGCAGTCAAGCTACAAATAATACAGTCAATAATAATAATAATAATAATAATAATAATAATAATAATAATAATAATAATAGACCATCTGTGGTGGACTAGTGGCTAGCACATGGTGCTTTCACCACTGCGGCCCGGGTTCGATCCCTGGTCAGGGAACCAACCCCAGCCACTGGAGGGTTCCACGAGCCAGTGCACGCCCAGTGTCGGTCCCAAGCCCGGAAAATGGGGATGGTTGTATCAGGAAGGGCATCTGGTGTAAAACAGGCCAGAATCAAAATATGCAGATGGGTGATCTGCTGTGGTGACCTCGAATGGGAAGAGCTGAAAGAGGAAAAAAAGTTTATTTGTTATATATTAATTAATAAAGCATATTTAATATAAAATGAGATATTAAGCCTATGAGGCATCATATCAAATCAAATTGACAGATGGACCTTGAGAAAAACATGAGAATCATATATATATATATATATATATATATATAGGAGCTGGGAAAAGAGAGTTGTAAGGATCTACACCTGTGTGAGATTGCTCTAACATGTTCTGTGTTTCAGTGAGCAGCGGCAACGACAAAGTGAGGAGAGAGAGCTGAGCAGCACAGAGCCGTGTGTGTGCACGTGTGTGTATAGATATGCAGTATGTGCATAGTAAAATAAAACCACTGAAAGGCAAAAGAAATCAGGGCAAGAAATAAAGAGCCCGTTTTTAGTTTTCCCAAGCCTGCCTCCCGCCTCCTCATTTCCGAACCTCCCCGTGAAGTGTCACAATTTAATAATATTGTGTAATAATTGTGTCAAAAAGAAATAAATTGGAAAGGTTTCATGTTGTGCTTCTGAGCCAAACTGCTGTTTTCATCTTGATTTAGTTTCTGCTTTGGTATTTCCAATAACCTTTGGGCTGGGTGACTGTCCTCAGTCTCTAATCTGCCACTCTGTGTTTAAGCTCAGTGACTGAAAGATGTCACACACTGCTGCACAGCCTCATGCTGCTGAGGACACGGCTGCTAAGGAGATTATGCGCATCATAAGCATTAGAGTCGTCTAGCCAACCTAGCCAACTATTGTTTAGTGTTCATAATCAGACATTAAAGCCCCTTATAACAGTAGACTGATGACATTAGGTTTGGGGCTAAGACTGGGAAAGGATTTTAAAGATCCTTTTACTAGAAAGGCTTTTGAAGTTCCAATCATGAATGACTGCCAGGAGGACCATATTTGTGGTTCTGCAGTAAGAGAGGATTTTGACTAACATGCGCATTAAATTGCTCAATCTGTGCTTTTAACATGCCTTCTGCTATTAGAGTGGCACTGTTCTGCAGTGGGTGGCACAGTGGTGCAGCGGGTAGCGTTGCTGCCTCACAGCTCCTGGGTTCACAGTTCAATCCTGAGCTTGGGTTACTGTCTGTGTGGAGTTTCGCATGTTCTCCCTGTGTCCACGCGGGTTTCTCCCACCTCCCAAAAACATGCCAGTAGGTGGATTGGATCAGATAAATTGCCCCTAGGTGGGATCTACCATGACCCTGACCAAGATAAAGAGGTGACTGAAAGTGAGTGAATGAAAGTGTTTGTGCAGTTCCTGACTGAGGCTTAAAGAAATGTGCCTTTTTTTTTTTTTAAACTTGACTTGTTTGTCTGTATCTACAGTATTCAGTGCGACACTTGTGTGGTGCAGTGCAGGGCAGGGCAGGACAGGACAGGACAGGACAGGACAGGGCAGGACAGGGCAGGGCAGGGCAGGGCAGGGCAGGGCAGGACAGGGCAGGGCAGGTGGTTAGGGCTATGGACTACTGATCAGAAGGATGTGAGTTGAATCCTGGTACCAAGCACATAAAGAACACATGCATAATGTCATCCATTCCAGCTATCCGTGAACACCAGTTACACTACATGGCTTAGATCTGGTTTATACTTGACATGAGTACATGTGAGCATGTAGATGAAGCTGCAATCCAGAGGATTAAAAGTGATATCCACTTGATGGCGAGTCAGAGCAGAGCCATCCCTGTCCGGCAGGTTTCCATGACGACCAGTAAAATGGTTGGTGTTTTTGTTATATAATAAGTTTAACTAAAATCAGTTTTGCTTATCCCCCCCAGCAGTTGCCTTGTGCCCCTCATGAGGAAGGCCCCCCAAACTTTGAATACCACTGTTTGTGCAGTTTTGGAGGAATTTCAGTGCAGTCAAATAAAGATTGCCTTACTTTGTTGTGCTTTAGCTAAACTATGGAAGCCCATTCACACTAGATACTCTATATGGCCAAAATTATATGGACACCTGATCATCACACCAATATATGAGTCTTTCCCAAATTTTTGCCACAAAGTTGAAAGTACACATTTGCCTAGAATGTCTTTGTATGCTGTAGCATTACGATTTCTCTTCCCTGGAACTAAGAGGCCCAAACCTGTTCCAGCATGACAATGCCCCTGTGCACAAAGCGAGCTCCATGAAGTCATGGTGTGTGAAGGTTGGAGTGGAAGAACTCGAGTGTTCTGCACAGAGCCCTGACCTCAACCCCACTCAACACCTTTGGGATGAACTGGAACACCGACTGCACCCCAGACCTCCTCACCAACATCAGCGCCTGACCTCACTAATGCTCTTATAGCTGAATGATCACAAATCCCCACAGCCACACTCCAAAATCTAGTGGAAAGCCTTCCCAGAAGAGTGGGAGGTTATTATAACAGGAAAGGGGGAATAAATCTGGAATGAGATGTTCAACAAATACATATGGGTGTGATGGTCAGGTGTCCACAAATTTGTGGCCATATAGTGTAGAAAGAAAGAAACTGCATAATATTTTTTTCTTAATTTTTGGCAAAATGTTGATTGATTATCTCAAAATTCTGACTTCTAATTCAATTCAATTCAATTCAATTTTATTTGTATAGCGCTTTTAACAATGGACATTGTCACAAAGCAGCTTTACAGAAATAAATGGATTCACAAAAATATATTGTAAATATTTGAATTTATCACTGTGAATTTATCCCTAATGAGCAAGCCAGAGGCGACGGTGGCGAGGAAAAACTCCCTGAGATGATATGAGGAAGAAACCTTGAGAGGAACCAGGCTCAAAAGGGAACCCATCCTCATCTGGGTGCAACGGATAGTGCGATTATAATCGCCGTTATCTCAAAATGTACTTTTTTCTTGCAGTTATTACTGCAAGATTATGTCAAATGTTCACTGGTTCAATTCTGAGATAAGTAAAATGTTAAGATAATATGTAAACTTTTTGAAAATGAAAAATGTTGACATACTGCTGGCAAAAATAAAGAAAAAAATATGTTGTGCATGTCTTTTTCTTGTCTGCCTGGTGGAAAAGGGCTTCCACAGCAGGCAGTAGCTGTGCATGAAGACAGAGAGGGGGTGCATGTGCAGAGCCGGATCCCAAGCTTTCTCCAGGTTTTAGTGGAAGCGGCCCGGAGGGAGGGAAAGGAGACAAGGATGTTCAGTTAGCAGGACTGGAGCAATCTGCCTAGTAGTGAAAGATCAGTGGAAGTCAACGCAAAATTAGTGCAATCGAGGATTATTTTGCACGCGGCTCGTGGATGATGAGTGGTGCTATTCCCCAAGCCTGCTTTTTGATGCCAAACTCGAAGATAGCGCATTGTTTACAATGGTAAGCAACCCATAATGGCAGACAATGGCTCTTATAGTTCTAACAGCTTAGCAACACATTTCAGAAATTGTCCCAATGTTATGTTTTTTTTCCCCTGTAGGCTGATCAGAGGAGTCATGTGTCAGAAGCATCAGTTAGCACATGCTACCTGATTTTTTAAAATTTTTTTAAAAAAGGCTTTATTTATTGGGTTAGCTTGTTATGCTAGCTGAGCATGGTAACAATAACACGCTGCCGTGATGTTTCACTCAGTATTTTGCACCTTTATAGACTCAAACTGCTTAGTTGATACTTGTCAAAAGGTAATATGGAAAGCTAGGAGTGTCAAAACGTCCATAACAAAATACCCTGACTGCAAATGAAGCATTTTGACTGTGCGCTCAACGACGTCACTTCCGGCTGCGTTAAAAAAAACAAAAAACTGCAGCGCGAGAACAAGGAAGTGCTGTGATTTATGGTGCGTTCAAGTCACGACGGAAAGATTGTATTTATGAGTTGAACGCGTCACAAAGTTGTAATTATGAGTGGGATTTGCTCTGAGCTCTGAGTTTCCGAGTCAGGGTTTTGTATCATTAAGAAAACATGATGGAGTCAGTGGATGCAACATCTGGAGTTGAGGGTAAATTAGTTGAAATTGAAAGGTGATTTAGCAGTGACATGTCTCTGTCAGGCTTTTTATTTACAATAAAATAAAATAGAAAGCATATTGCCTGCACAGAATATGATAGCATTGTACAATTATGATATAATTATTATGTAATGATAAAGTTTACAGTGGCTTCATAAATTTATTAAAAACATTTAAAAAAAAAACACACACACACACAAAACACACCTGATTCTTTGTTCTTCATTTTCTAGAAGTCGAATTACAAACCCTTGCTGTATTTTTGTAGTTAATTAAGAGAAGGTACACCACCATCTTCCACCGCTCTGACCAAAGTGACTTGAACGCACCTGACATCATAATTACGACTTCCCAACTCGTAAATACAAACTTTCCAGGAGCACTTGAACGCACACTTACTCCATCAGAATAGACCCTGTTTCCACTAAACTGTACCACAAGTCAGGGGCTCTGGCCAAATGACCCCACATGGACATTATGAATTTTCTGTGAGCCAAAGCCTTGACCACCGTACAGTTTTTTTTCCCCATTTTATCATATGTTTTATATATATTTATCTAAATATATCATATAAATATATCATATATTTTCCCCATATATCATATCATCTGTTATGTGTAACATAAGTGACAACTAAAATAAAGGGATATCTCCTGGACTTATTTACCAGTTTAGTGGGAAGAGTGAGCTTGTATTTCCTGACACAGCTTTGTAAAGATATATGTTTGAAAGGGTTATGTCTTATTTCTACTGTCACATCCAGCTTTGAATGATACATGGATTTAATACAGGCAAGAATGCTTCAGGAATCCAGCTTAACTTCTCTTCTTCCTCTGAGTCACTCAGTGTTGTTGAGGAGCTAGTGGAGGTAGATGGAAAGGGAACATTTGTCCAATTTTAT